TTTTTCTGTTTTTCGTTGCAAAAATGCGTCATGACTTTTCCGACAACCCAATAATTCTGTTAACATTTAAACCTGGAGATGTGGTCTCCTCATGACCCTGTGTCAAAAGAAGTAACAACAGTCACCTTTCCACACAGCAGAGCTCGTCTGGCCACTGTGGTTTGCAAACACACACCTATCAGACGACAGACACGCACTACGCAACGACCCAGGCAAATGCGTGAAGTGGTCAGCGGACCGCTAGGAACTGGGCAGAGCACGCGGGGTTTGTCAGCTTTCCCACTTCGGACACAGGTCACACACCTTAGCTTCTCCGCTCCAGCTCTGTACCTCGAGATTCGCGCCATAGACAGAGGGACTGACCAGGCGTCTAGCCAGCGCTTCTGGTACTTTGGTTCATTAGCTACGGGCGACGGAGGCGACGATGGAGCCTGTGCAAAATAAACGAGAATCGACAGTCACAGAAGCAGCCACACAGCACTGGGCACAGGTCAGGCGCATCATGTCCCATGAAGGCCAAAGAAAACACATTTTATCGTTGAGAAAGCCCGCGGCATGACTCGCTCAAAGATACAGAAAGAAACAGGTGCTCTTCTATTTAAACTTAAGCTATTTTCTCCCTGTGTTTTTTAAACAAAATACCGCACAAGAGAGAGAAAAGCCAAAGTGAGAGACACGGGGAGAGACAGTGAAATTGAAGGGAATTTGGAGACAAGATGAAGCTCTGAAACCAGGAAGGTGCGGGCGAGACCCGCCGACCCGACGGGCGCACTGGGTGAGCGCAGGTCCAAGACACCGATGTCGGGACATTCTAACGGGTCCAGGTCTCAGGACAACGCTTATTAGTGAGCGGAAAAGACCCGTCTGTCCGATGGCTGTGGGCAGAGCATGTCGTCTGCGGGGAGGAGGGCAGGTCAGGGGAGCAGAAGACGCAGGACATGGCAAATGAGCCCGGGTGAGCAACGACATCACCAGACACAACCTCCCACCGGTAACCAAGGAACAATGAGCCAGAAACGGGGCTCCGGGCAGCACGGCCCGGCCACCTTCCTGTCCTGGGCCGCGGGCGGCACGCACTCACCGAGGCGCACAGCCGGCCGTGGTCAGAGCTGCTGTGAGGAAGGGCACACGCTGATGCCACTGCAGACTCTGATGTGCGTTTCCAACCCACGCCCATATTTGCATGATTATCATTTGGAATGTAGAAAATGGTTCTGTTGATGAAAAGGGGCCAGCTGAGCAGCAGCGATGAAAGTTGGAAACGTGCTCTTATCAGGCAAATTAAAGCTATTCAGGGTGTGTGGATATTGAAATATTTCAGGATCACCTCCCACTCTAGGATGCCATGAGGACTGGGACCTGCACAGCCGGTGGTGACCCCTCGGCTAGAGTCCCAGGACGTGTGTGCCTGTCCCGGTGACTGAGGCAACCCTAGGATAAAAGCTGGCAGACTCTAACCCTGGAACCTGGGCGTGTTTCCTTATTTGGAAAAAGCGTCTTTGCAGTTGTGATCGCGGTAAGGATTTTCTGTGGAGTGTTCACCCCGGCTCATCTGGGCGGGCCCAGTGCCATCCCATCAGCCCTCAGCGGAGGGAGACAGGTTACCAAGCGCAGCGAGTAAGACCCTGGGAGACCACACGACAAGGACGCTGGGGCCACCAGCAGCTGGAGGAGGCAGCCTGTGGAGGGGTCAGCAAGCCCACCCGGCCTTAAACAACCAGACCTGGGTTTGGGTTACCCTCCTAATGTTCTCCATTTAAATTCATTGATTCCATGGCCGTCACCACAAATGCAGGCGCGGTGATACTGCAACACTGGGGGTTAAGAGACATTTTATCCATGTTCATTATCGCCATACTTTTTTTTGGACTGTGTTCTGATGTCCAGGAGAATACTTGTTTGGGCTGCAGACATGAGCACAGCACTGTGTGGCCTCCAGATTTATTATTTTCCTCTGTATTTCCGCTGGCTTCTCTGAAACGCCACTGTCTGCTTGCACTGCTGCTGGCTGTGTAGGGTCCGTTCCAGCTGATCATGTACGGAGGCATGCCCTTAATTGTGAATAGCCATTAATTTCATCACCGTGTCTGTCTTCATGATGCTACACTTACGATCCGGAGCTCGGTACAGTAACGCCTCTGTGAATTTTGCGTTGTGCAGGTCCCACCTGTCACGGCTTTGAACATGTGAGCATAACAAGCATTGATTTTCAGTTATCGGAACGATTTGCAAAACCACCAGTTAAAATGTCATAGTGGTTTCCAGTATAATATACGATGTTTTAATGAACAAAATAATATGGGTTGTTTGATAGAATCATTTTAAATTCTCTTTTCAAAATGTAGGATAAAAAGCAATTCCCACTAAGAAAAAACATGTTTCCTTTATAAAATCGGGTTGCACTTCACAGCCCTTTGGGCCCCTTTCAGCCTCTTAGCGGGAGATTTCCTTCCCTCGGCCTCGAAACGCTTCTCGCCCGGTGGCCACTGACAAGCCTGGAGCTTCTCGTCAGACCCGACGTGCGTTTCCTGGAGAAACATCCAGCAGACCCAGGAAATGTTTCCTACAGCCGCACACGCCGGGGGCAGCGGGTCCCTGCAGCTCCCTCCTGGGTTAAGGGCTTTCGGTGGTGTTCCAACGCCCATCCCAGACGGGTTCGCGGGAGCGGGGGACAAGGAGGGCCACTGGGGGCCCACGGGAGCATGCCCGTTCCCTGTTGCCTGCTCGCCTGCTC